CATCTCGAAATAGTCAAGGAGAACTTCACCCTTCAATTCCTCCTGACCTTGAGGAGATTCGTAACAGTGTAGGCGCTGCCAGCCTCGTATTGAACGGACACACGAACAACCGCTTTTCTTTCATTTGAATAGGATTTGAACCACTCCAGAATAGATCCTCTAATACCAATGCTGTAAAGCCTTGAGAGAAGACTTGAGTGGCATACCGAATCGAAGGCCTTGCTGAGATCAAAATAGACGATATCTACATTGCATCCGGAGTTAAGTGCAGAAGTCCATCATGACAATCCAGCACTTGTGTACAAGTGGAGGAACCAGGTACAAAGCCGTGCTGCTCAAGTGGGATATATTTTTAGTTAATAACCATGAGAGCAAGTGCTCCTTGAGTAAACTTTTCGAGAACCTTACCAGGAGTGGGGAAAAAGCCTGTTGGCAAAAATCGGTACTCCTTTTTGGCATCTTTAGTCTTAGCAAGGGAGCATTAACAAAAGCCATTTTCAATCCAAAGGGACTGACCGAGCAACAGGGAAGTGTTAACGATATGGCATAAAGGAACTGCGTGACGATTCCGAAAACCCTTGAAGAAGTATTGGAGATGTCATCAAAAGTAGCAGATAGGGATGGCTTGAGAGCTCTCCCAGATCTGGCAACAGGGAAACCTGTCCTAATGCAAGCTGCTATTGATGCCATAGCAGATTGGGCTAAAAAATGGGGACTTGCAGTTTCTCCGGAGAAAACGGTTGCCCTCCGACTGGGTTCCAACTGCCCCTCGTCCTTAACTTTATCATCGAGGGTGTTGAGCTGAAGGAACCGGAATGCAATCAAGGACTTGGGCATTTATATATCCAAGAAATTTATGTTTTTCAATGATTATATTACCAGAAGCAGTGCATATGGCACAATGCAGGGCGAATTACATCTTAAGAGCATTCTCGTCGCGAAATATGAAAACTTTGTTTCAGCTTTTTGCTGCATATGTGCGCCCCACCCTTGAGTATTGTCCCATGTTATGGAGCCCTCATACTCGTCATATGGTTGAACTTATTGAGAGTGTTCAGTCCAAATTTACTGAGAAAATTTTCGCCCGTGGAGGCATGTTTCACATTTCGTATAAAGACAGGCTCAAATATCTGGGAGAAGACTCACTTGAGATGAGAAGAAAGCTATACGACTACGACTTTGTTTACTGATTTCGACCTCTTGTTTACAAAATCTCAACAATTGGCCGTACTGGGGGCACAACTTTAGGATAATTAGAGAGAAAACGAGATCAACTGAGTTTCGAAATTCTTTTACACAAGAGTCATTACTTTTTGGAACGATTTACCGGTGTTGTTACTCGAGCTCCACTAAGAACTTCAGGAGCAAAGTTAGGCGAATTATGATATCTCAGGGCTGGTTCTGAGGACAGAAACTAAACCATACTAAACTTAAACTGATCGAGAAGCGATTTCGCGGTGGATATGAATGTTTCGAAACTCTCTTGTATCCTTATCTGAATGATATTTTTCAAGCTCATAGTGCTATAGTCTCTGTATTTTGTTTGTTGATGTACAATCTCATGCCCTGATTTTTTATCAATCTGGTCGGCTAAGTGAGTTGGAGTCTCAGGCTTAAGTCAGGCAAAAGTTGGCGGACATACTAAGGTTGGTAATCGGAGTTTCTTACAAAGAATATCCTTACCTTGCAGTGTTGGCCCACGCCCTTTCTGGCGCTGAACTACCTCTCCCTCACTTGCTTGCAGCTATAGGTCTTGTATATTACCATGAGTGTTTTTTCACCTTATCGGAGTTTTTTTTTCTCACACACTGTTATTTATCTCGGCCATTGTAACTAGTTTGCCGATAATAAATCATAAAATCATAAAATGTTTACTGTTCATGTATGGAGTAATAGGTAACAGGGGAGTAGAATCGAGAGAGTTGAAAAGGGGGGGGGCTCGCTTTGATTTGAAAACACTAGAAAAGTAGGAAGCGAAAGCTTCCGCTTTAGTAGCGCTATCAGGGCTTTTATTACCTTCTTCGTAAAAAATGACAGGTTCGTAATGATGTTTCTCGTATATAAGAGCAACGTTGCTGATATTGCTAGCTGATGAAAGGCGCCTAACCTTGTTGTCCATGAAACACTTCATATGTTTATTGAGTTTTCTACAAATGTCTCTGTATGACGAATCGTTTAGGTTATCCGAACAGCTATGGAAAATTCTCATTTTTTGCTCGAAAAGATTCTTGATGTGAACAAGCTATACAGCAGAACCTTCTTTTACCGCTTGCCTTCACGGATAAGTACAAACTGATCAATAATCGTACGGATAACAAGGCAAAAACGGTGATAGACTTTATCAATATTTACGTAATTTTGAAAAAGATCCAGCCAGTCAATAGCGGTCAGCTCCTGCGATATGGCCAGTCTGTCACAAGATTTAAAATCTCTATAGCGCATAGGAGTTGCTATATTGGATGTATTCTTCGACAAAAATGTAACTCTGTTAGATGCTAGAGAAGCAAGGGGTGGAAGGATTTCCATTCTCGAAACGCTACTCCTAGAAGAAAAAAATCAAGTCAGTGATCATTTGATCATGATTCATTTCTGGTCGGTTGCTGCACATGTTGATGAGTAAGACAGTGAATCAAAAAATGCAAGAAATCTAGCTGCGTTCGATTTGTTGGTTGATTTGGACCTCCAGTCAACACTAATGGTAAGATTAAAATCTCCCATACTAGTAAAATCATTCGGTGTAGAAGAAAAATAAGTCGAACAAAATAGATAGCAGACGAGCATCTTGTGTCGATAAGGATGAGGGGGACGGTAGAGAAGAATAAACCGACGCTGAACCCTGACGAAAAGGTGACATCTGCGCAAATAACGTCTGAGAGCAAACTCATAGTAAGAGATGAACACAACTCTCTCGAATATGAGTAGTTGATGAAGGAACATACACACACCTCCCCCATTTCTTTCGAGCTCTACCCCTTCTGATAACAGTGTGGGGAAAATCTGCACTCAAGTTACAATGAAGTATCTTTGAATTTAGGTAGGGTTTCAGAAACGAACACGATATCAGGTTTGGAATTCGTAAGAGAATGATGAAAGTGAGGCAATATTTGACTAAACTACGAGCATGGAAAAGGCGCTTTTCGGCAAGAGAACGTATCAAATCCCCTCAAAATCTTGAGAGGGGAGTTCTTTGAATCCTCAGATTACACTGGTTTCTGAACAAGCTCATCACGATTAAGCTCAAATGCCAGTTTCCTCAAGTCACGTTCTGTTCGTTGTTCTTTCTTCTGCCGTCATTGATTTCCTTATAAATACCTGCTGAACATAGGTGAGGAACGAAGGCGGTTCGCTTTCGACAGAGCTTCGAACAAAATTTTCTTAGCATGGATAAAACACATTTGTCAATCTTAGGAATTATCACCTGTTTTGCCTATCCTTTATACTTCAACCGGTCGAGCCTCAATATCCAATACATCGAGGATGGCGGAAACATTTTTCTCAGTATGCTCTTGACGAAGAGAAGGTAGGGAACCTCACCACCTCGGAAGCCCCGTAAAATAATCACTAAACGTTCCCTTTTCGGACTCAGTGAAGATCAAGAGACAAAACAGGCAGCATACTGACTAATTTCTCCAGCTAGTGCTGAAGGTTCTTCGTCGAGGGCAGGAGCCATCGGTGGCGCGGACGTAACAGTTGGCTGCATTTTAGGTTGGTACAGTCCTGATGGTTCTTCGTCGAGGGCAGGAGCCGAAGAAAAAGCAGCCGTTGCTGGATCTCTGATATATGGGCCTTCCAAACACTTATGTCAGAGATTTAGATATACGTATACGAGATACGTCATCACATACTGCATCATCCTGCGGAACTTGGCTCGAATGGTTTTAGGACAGGCGGCACAAAGAAATATCTCCAACCTTTCAGAAGAGGAGTCTCAATTAATAGCTCCAGAACTTGTGCAAAAAGCCCACGAGTAGGAGATATTGTACTGATCAAACAAGTCAATGCATCAAGAACTAAATGGCCTCTCGGAATAATAGTGGAGATAAACCGTTTAGCGGATGATCTACCTAACGTTACGAACAGGAAGCGGAAGGATCCCCGAAAAGTTTGCTAAACCAGCTGATACCAACTGAAGTATCAGCTGACGACCCGGAGACCGTCGCGCGCACAAAAAAAGAAAGAGTCCCCACCAGTACGGTCACAACCGTAGCGGAGGGCAAAATCAAAAACCAAATCACTCTTACTAAAACCAGCCGAACTCCCTCGACACACATAGTTATGAGCAGTGTCAAAGCGTTATCGATCAACAACAACTCAACCCCATTCATAACACCTCTCCATACTTGTAACAGTCTTGAACTAACAATTTACGCGCATCAACGCAAATGTGATCGACCGTATCGATTGCTCACATACCAATAGAAGCGAAGCGGGTGTCAATTGCGAAATAGTAGATTCTCATTTTGGCTCACCAATCGCCCGTCTGGCAGCGCCTTCTCGAGGTTTTTATCCATTCGATTCATTATCGATCATTTCATTGGCCAAATGTACTTTCCTCATACATTACACTTTTAACAATGTACAGAAGAACTTAAATGCCATACGAACATTTGTGGACAGCGGGCGAGCGGTCGCGTCGCGGTCACTTGCATGGGTCGCGTTGAATCTGGCGCGAGGGAGGAGATTTCACATGAAAATTGGAAGTTAAACCATGCAGTGACCGATATTTTGGAAGGTGAATGAGTAGTTTCACGTATGTTCCTTTCTCCGCTTCATGGAGTCACTTAGACATGAGATACAATCATAGACACATTCACGTAGCTATTGTATATGAAGCGCACACGGATTCTAAAGCCCCTGTCGTACCTTATGTCGGATTTTTTTCTGAGTTTTCAGAATCCTTCATGAGCAAAGATAGAAATTTCGAAGACATAAATCTAGTGCGACAGGGTTAATGGGTACTTCAGAAGGGTGAAGTGCTAGCAAAGGAGGTGCGCGGTAGTTCACTTTAGGACTGAAGGCAAAGATGACGACGAAAATATCTTTATCTCCATGTGATAACAAGAATCCTAGAAACACCAATGCTAGAGCAACTGAGTGGGTGCAATAGGATAACTGTTCCACATAGGTGCATTTGAAGTATGTACAAGTTCCAGAAAATATGTTTTGTGTTGTAGCACAGACATTCGTGATGTGGCGCCCTAAACAAGTTTGGGTGTGATCGCAATTTTCTTTTGGATTCGAGGATAAATTGAACATTACGTTCAACGTGTTCCACAAGTAAGCGTTCCTTGCAAAAATGTAAAGGCTGTACCAGCTCTCACGGGTACAAACTTTTCACGGGTTTCCACACGTTCCAACGGGTAACAACCTTCCTACTAGTCCTCACATATTCTTTCGGGTAAAAACTTCTTACTAGTCCTATCATGTTTCACGAGCAATATCTTCCATTCCTTTACAGGTGAAATCCTTCTTCATGATCTCTCAAAAAAGTTCTCGCATATGAAAAGTTCATATACCTTAATGCAGATGACTTCTTCCCTCTTTTTTGTCTTTGTTAACTCGTTTCTTGTCTCCTTATTTTATTTCATATTAAGTTTTCCTTGTTTTCCGTGGATAGAAATCCATAACGCAACGATGACTCTGAATAACTTATAATACGGTACTTCAGAAAAAAATGCGCATATTATACTTCATATTTCCGCATGCTCTTATGAAGATTTGGCTTTGACCTCGAGCTCGATGAGGTAGAAGAAAGGCGCAAAGAAGACCAACCTAGTTCAAGCAATAATCGCTGCGCCGCAAGTACTACAAGAAGAAAACTATTACAGTAAGTTGAAAAGTAATACAACAGTGAATAAGGTGTTTTTATCGCAGGCAAACGTCCAAATAG